TGGTGGAGTGGAAAGATCCTTAAAGGCAGACAGACCTGAGTTTAAAACTCAGTTGTGTCAGTGCTTAGCTGTGTGACCTTGGACAAGTTACTTAGCCTTTTTGAGCCTCAATTTTCACAGACTGTTGTCATGATTTAGAGAACTAATGTATGTAAAACTCTTACTTCTGTACTTTGCATATTTTAGCTGGTGATGGTAATTATTACTATTCAAGCATTTTAAAACATTAGCTGTGTGGCACCAGAATGCTAGGCCTTAAATTAATAGCAAGACATCATCTGTACCTTCAAGGAGTTTTCAGTCTAATAGGATTATTCAAGCAATTGTTCCTGGTAAAATAGTTGATGGAGAAATAAACTGGCTTTCCAGTTGAAGATCTCCCACACAAAGACCCCAACAGTGCCATCGGTAGTCTTGGTGTTTGTCCCAGAATGATTGTTCCAAAAGAAAAACTAATATTTGTTGAATACTTACCATATAACCAATACCACAGTAGATATTTTCACAAACATTCTTATTTCCCCCTAGAACGACCCTAGGAAAATCATATTCTATAAATGGCCAAGAATAGACTCTAGTTTGAATCCACATCTGTCTGACTTCCAACTGTCTATGTACCTTCTGCTATGTCAAAGTTCTATTGTAGCTGTTGGACAATTTGTAAATGTAACAAAAAGCACTCTTGAATTGGTTCCATATGTTTGAGAGACTGTTGTACAAAGCTATAAGTGTTAAACCAATACCTACATACAAATATTTTAGATAAATAATAATTAAGTTACTGCTCTGATGGAGATTGGTGGAACCCCCAAGACTACGGCCCTTAGACACGCTTCAGACCTGGAACTGAACACACCCTCAGGCATCCCTTGCAGCCAAACAACAAACAGGTCTGTAAAGTGAACAGTAACACTCAAAAGGAATGGAGTCTTCAGAATAATCAACCATACAAGACCCAAAGGGCAGCATTTGCCCAAAAACAAAGCTTAGAAGGCAGGAAGGTACAGGAAAGAAGAATGAATGGAAACAGGGAAACCAGGGAAGAAGTGGAGGAAATTCCAACTAATATTATGAAACAAAACATGTATAAATTTTTTAATGGAAAACTAATTTGCTCTATAAAATTTCACCCAAACCACAATTTTAAAATAATAATAATAATAGAAATAAATAAATATTAAGGTATAGCAGATCAGTTAAAGAGAAAGCTAGCATAAAGTAGAGAAAAACTGTTACTATTAAATAAACCAGATAGCTCAGGACTGATCTCTTGGCCCATACCAAACTTACACACCTACTCCTCACTTATCCTATGTTTCACATTTACAACAATAGCAACAAAATCTACTATCTGACTATTTTGCACATTTACAACATACATCTGGAAGTAACACCAAGCCACAAGGCCAGAGTAACACTGGCAGTGATGGTTAAGATTATGTGTCAGCATAGCTGGGCCATGATTCTCAGTGGTATTGCAGTTATGTAATGATGTAATTTGGCAGTTATGTAATGATGTAGTCAACCTCCATTTTGTGATCTGATCTATTCATACTCCATTTCACATAACCAATTTTACATAATGACCTGGTCTTTGGAACCTAATCATGCTGGTAAGTGAGGAATGGGTGTATTGCAATGTACCTAAATATAAAAACATCTGAAAAGCCTGAACAAGGGCAAATATATTTTCTAATGTGTGAGAAAATCAACCAGAGCAGCTATTAGCATAAACCTTTATCCAAAAATGTCAGCATGAGAAAACTTTGAAGGAGTGTCCTTAGTGGGGCACAAGAGAATTTTTTATAGGATTTTAGCAGGAGAAGTCAAAATAAGTTGAGCTAGTATCAAAAACAATTGGTCAAAAACAAATTGTTCTTAGATTTATTATGATGAATGGGGAAGAAGTTAGGGGCTATGCTCATGAGCAAGAGGAAGAGAGAAAGAACAGCTAGTAGGGACAAGGGCTATTAACAGAATAGTATCAGTCCTTCTTACACCAACATTTAGGTCTCTTCTTAGTCCAGATGCAGAGGTTCAAAATAACCATTTTTGCTTCTACTTCTGCCCACTGCTACATGGTAGTCTGGAAACATAAGTTCTTTGTTTAAGAGTTGTATAATTTACCTTTGTTTGCACTTGTGATTTTATTTAAAAAACAGTGAACTTAAAGTTGCAAAACATGGACTATCACTTACCTGCTACCTGAACTTGTTTTCTTTATGTTGCTAGGATAGTTGTTCCTACTGTTAGTTGCCTTTGAGTAGCCTCTGACTCATGGTGACCTTATGTCTAACAGAATATAATGCTGCCTGGTCCTGCACCATCTTCGTGATTGTTGCTATGTCTGAGGCCATTGTTGTGGCTGTTGTGTCGATCCATCTCATAGAGGGTTTCCCTCGTTTTCACTGACTCTCTATTTTACCAAACAGAATTCCCTTTTCTAGAAATTGGTTTTTCTTGATGATGTGTCCAAAATAAGTGAGCCAAAATCTTAGCATCCTTGCTTCTACAGCGCATTCTAGTTGCTAGGATTGGATGTTGTGAAGGAAGTTTGTAGAAAGTAAAAAAGCACTTGTTAAATATTAATTATACCACTAATATTACTAATAAAATCATTTGGGGTAAGATTCTTTGTTGTGGAAGATTGTGGACTGCCTGATGCATATCGTCAGGAGAAGAGAAGGCTACAGAGTTAACCATAGGCAGATAGAGGCAGAAAATGATTTTTGGGGAAAAAAAATCCTCTCAGTAGAAAGAATGAAGGAGTCCTCATGGTGAAAAAGTTAAGCATTCAGCCGCTAACCAAAAGGTTGACAGTTTGAACCTACCCAGTAGCTCTGCAGGAGAAAGACCTGCTGATCTGCTTCTATAAAGATTACAGCCAAGAAAACCCTATGGGGCAAGTCTACTCTGTCACATTGGGTTGCTATGAGTTGGATTAGACTCCATGGCACCCAACAACAACAGAGAGTGATATTAGATTCCTTGTGGGAAGGATCTGATGCCAGCTAATTTCTCTTTTGCTTTCTTGTTAAAACAGGAGAATTGAGAATATTAAATGAAAAAATAAACGTTTTAAAGACCTCAGGAGATGGATTCATTTGTTTTGATCTGAGGTAGGCTGATATCAAAGAGATTCTAGTGATGTTATTTTGCCTTAACCCAGTAGTGTTATAGAGAAATATAGAACCATTATTTTTTAACTAAAGTTAATTTTATTGAGAGTATACATTTGGGTTCCTTCTTGCATTTGACTTCCCATTCCCTCTATTAAAAATTCTCACTTTAGACTACTAAGAGGGCTTACCAAAAGTGTGTATCTTGGAATCTATTGTTCAAAATTAGCAGGGATAAGGGCTGTATGAAGAGATATTTATAGTAGCCGTCTTGGAGCTGGACTCATTGTTGTTCTGGAAGATAACTTCCACATGAAACTTAAGGAACTGAGGACTGTCAGCCTCTCCCAGAAGGCAGACCTTAGATCAGGATGGTGATATACTGGATCTAGTATTGCAGACCTATTGAGGCATATATGGGAGAGTTTCTGTGAACCCAATAGGACAGACATTGGCATCCAGCTTTGTTTGTCATGCAGATTATTCGGTTCAATCAACAGTTTCATACTATCTATTCCCAATACCAAGAAAATTGTTTAAAAATAAAATAGAAGTAAGATACAATACTTTCTACATTGAATGTTAGCAAGGTCCTAGGAGCAACAAACTGAGGAGTTATCTTAGCTAGATAAAACCCTAATGCAATCTGTCAAAGATGTTTTATGGAGTAATTTGATGAACTGAAATGCAAATTCTTGATCTATAAGTGAAGCACTACTGTGTTTAAATTACTTTAAGGTGTACTTCATTAGAAACAAGCGCATCCTAAGTAAAAGAAGTGTGACTCTGTGTAGGTCCTTAATTAAGTTCATTTTCACTCATAGCCTGCAATTACAAGAACTTTCAACTAAGTGCTATTGCCCTTCATTAGATATTAAGATCATACCATCAAGTTTCATTTTTAGTTTTTAAATGCAGTTCTTTGAAAACTATTTTAGTATACTATTATTTAGTTCCTAAATAAGAATTTCATTTCTCACACTGAATAACTAAATCTATAATATTTAGACAAAATTAATTCTTTGAAACCCATGATTTATAAAAACTTTTTTTGTGTGTAGCCTAAAATATGTCAGTTCTTTACTAAATAAATACAAATTTTGCATTTGGTGAATTTTCTTCCAAAAACTCCCAATCCCTGGATTATTTCCACAAGCCAATTAGCCATGTTTTTCTGAGTAGCTTCTTCTGTTATCGTGTAGTATATGATCAGGAAAATTATATTCATGTTATAGTAGTCTAAACATATCATAGAAAGGAATGCAAATTTCCTGAACTAAAATTTAAGGAAACTTATAATCAGTAGATCAAGTTTTCATCATTGGCACTCACTGATTAATCTTAATTTTAGAACAAATTTTAGCTCCAGAAAAACTAGTATATTAATTAGTTATAGTCTTCTCTATATGTTTAATCTCAAAAGTACGTGATTTCATCATAAGTAAATGAAAGTCTGTGCATGTTCACAAACATATCTGTTTCCTAAGTATCGTATTTCATACAAGGCATCTAAATTTACCAAGTTATGTCATTTCTTTCAGTTCTAAGAAAGTTTAAAATATCCCAATAAATAACCAGTCTTAAAGAGTAAGAACATAATTCACCAATTCATAAATGGTTGTCACTGTTGTTATCTGCTAAGCCTTTACTTTATATTACTTGTGGACATTATCTTACTGAAGTTTGGTCTCAGGGGTCTTATATTTGATGTAGAAGAAGATAAAAAGCAAACTGAACATTTTTCAGAAAATTCTTCAAAATACTGTGTTGTTTCATATTTCTAATTATTCATAATTAAAGAAAACATAATAAAGCTCAGGTTCATTTTAATGTCAACAGCTATGCATTTTAAAATACATTTCTTCTATTAGGTTGTTTACTATGTCTTTGGCTGATACAACAAAAACAAATCTAGATGAGTGCTTCCCCAGTGTGGGATTAGAAAATGATAGGAAGTCTGCAGAATGCGAGAAGAGCCTAGGCCTGGGTGATTTTCCCAGGGAAAGTAACACTGCTGAGAAGAGTGTTGATTATAGTCAATCCCAGTGTTCCTGCAGAAGTTCAAGTTCTCACTATGATTACTCAGAAGACTTTCTCTCGGATTGTTCAGAAGCAGCTGTTAATAGAAATTATTTAAAGCAAACTGTGGTAAAAGAAAAGAAGGAGGAGAAGAAAAAATATGTTTCTAGACTCTCCCAACCTAAAGGTAAGACGCACAATTTCCCAACCAAGACCAAATTTCTGGTTATTATGACATTATTAGTTGATGCACTAGTATTTAAAGTGATCTGTGATGGCATAGTGGATAAGGCATTTGGCTGCTAACCAAAAGGTCAGTGGTTCAAACTCACCAGCTGCTCCATGGAAGGAAAATGGAACAATCTACTTCCATAAAGACTGACAGCCTCAGAAACCCAATGGGGTTGCTATGAGTCAGATTCAACTAGATAGCAATGAGTATGGTTTGGCTTTTGGCATTCAGTTTTATTGTTTTTGATATTGTAAATATGTATTATATGTCAACTTTTATAGAAAGAATTAGGAAATGGAGAAATTCTGAATAATTACAAAATAGCAGAAAATTAGGCTTAAAACATGAAGCCCTCTTGCAGGGCTAGCCCATCCTCCTGGAGCCCACCAGTGAGGTCATTTCCATTTTTAGTTAACAGGTGGCCTTGTTACCGAGTACCACAATATCTGGATTTCACTGGCTTCTTGCCTTTCATCTCACCAGAAAAACCAAAGTTTGAAGCACCAATGAAATGTAAAAACTTGTCTCAACAGCCCAAGAGGATGATCACCAAGTCTGGTGAGGCATATTGGCATAGGCAATCTTTTGAAACAGAGATGGTTCAAAAGGCTATTAATGATATCATTTCCTTGTTGATTTTAAAAGTACCAACATTCTCTACTCCTAACTTTGCAAATTGGAATTAGCTTTTTATCATCCTTAATCTCCTCCCTCCCTTACCTCCCTACATCCTTGGGTTTGTAAATATTCCTCTGTATAAATAGCTACACTACCCACCAGCCACTCCTCAGAAGGAAGATTGGGCAATCTACTTCTGTAGAGATACCGCCTCAGAAACCCAAGTAGGGGTTGCTATGAGTCAAAATTGACTTGAGACTTGATGGCAGTGAGTTTGGGTTTTTGTTTTTTTTTTTTCTAAGCCAGGAACTCATGTCTACTTTGATCATCACAACTGCCCTAAGTCAGCAGTTGGCAAATACTCATTAAGAGTCTACTGTTTACAGGCATATCTACCAATGTCATGCTTGCTCTATATCCTTCCCCACAGCCTGCTATTTGCAGGTGTGTACAGGACCCTCGGGGCCACTTCCAGGTACATCTGAAATCATAAATTCCCCTACTTCCCAGCTATAAAGCAGGGATCAAGATCCATGTCTGTAAACCCCAGCAAATAGTATGCATTTGCTCTGTGTATATGTGTTTGTAAACTTTCCTAGGAGAAGAATTAGGAAATTCTGATGAAATAGCTTTCATCAGAGTGTCAAAAGGTAAATAATAATAATAATAATTAAACCCTTTTCTAGAAAGGTGGGAGTTTTATACACATTTGGTGATGCCTAGGGCAGAAGATGAAAAGTTCCGTACCTCCTCTCATGGTGGGACTCTGGAGACATCTGTTCGTGTCATTTGGAAGAAATTATCACAGTAGAACAACATCATAGTTAGGTTTTATTATCCTACAGTTGCATAATCCCTCATTTACATTTGAAATTTACAATGCTTTGAAAACCCAACATTTTTCATATATTTGCACCAAAACATTACTTGAACTGACATGAGACTAATCTTTATGTATTTTACTTAGTGTAAATAATCATATATGTCATTACAAAACTATTATCTGATTAAAGGGTATTGCCTCAGACCCTACTGGGGGTACTATGTAAATACCACATACGTATCTTAAAAAATAATAATTATTATTATAAAGGAATCCATCTCCAAGGGTTTTTAACAATGGATCATGGATCTGTATACTATATTTTATATTGATTATATGCTGTTGTGGAATTGTGTAAGAAGGCAATTAGCTTATAAAATGATTTCAAAAAGAAATGAACTGCATTTTTAGTTCTAAACAACTTATCATGTAACTTTTTAAAATCAATTCCTTACTCATTTATTCCACAAGTATTTATTTAGTGCTTTATACAAGATACTTGTTGAGAACTTAGGGAGGCAGCCTATTTAATTCATTCACTTCACAAGGGACCAACTCCTAAATTCCATTATCTGGAAGAGTGAAAGGTTTGCTTTCATTTGAATTAATACTCTGAAATTATTTTAAATAAATTTGGATTCATCTTCAACTTAAATTTTGTATTTATGAGGATCCTTGTCTGATGAACTTAAAACACCCATTGCAACATCAAGCTTTGTCATAGAATGATAAAGTATGTCCTTAGTTCATTTTTCATTATTCTGTTCCCATACAGTTCATGTTATGTAAGCATTTACCAAAGTAGCAAGTAAATTGTTCCACCCTGGGGTAATGTAATTCTAGCCCAAAGCAAAGAGACAGTGTTTTAGGCAGTGCAGTCCTTCTCAAATGAATGTTCAATACTCTTAAATTTTCTGAGATATTAAAAGTAGATCTCTGATGTGTATGTGAACTGTTGAATGCAAAACTAATCTGCTTTGTAAAATTTCACCCAAATCACAATAAAAAGTTAAAAAAAAAAACAAACATAGATCTCTGGCCCTTACGGGCTGGGAGCACTGGATTAGGAACCACCAATATAGACCCAGAATTCACCAAGGAATAGTAATATCAGAAGTTATTTTTAATTCCCATGTTAGCAAATACATGAAAGCAAATTTTATGGCAGAAAAAAATATACAGAGAAAATTTATAAGGATGAAATAAGAATTCTTGGATTTCAATTTGATAGGATTGTTGCTTTGATCGAAAATTGAAGATTTACTTAAATCAATTTAAATAGCAAGAAATATCTTTTATATAATTTGATGTTCAGAAATTAGTTACTTCCTTCTTTTATAGAAAACATATTTTAGAACTTCTTCAAGTATATATCCTATTAATTAGAAAACTGCCACTATGATATGTGTGTGTGTTTGTTTTGGTCAGTATAATGCCAAAACAATTAACTGATAGATGTGACAGTCATTCAAAAACTTCATATACCAAAAAAAGTTCTTTCACTGCACTGGGATGCCTGGGCCACCTTTTGCCCTTTGAATGCTCCTATTGTCTTCAGTCAGGTAAAGGTGGAAAATCTAAAGTAGCATTAAAGACACACATTTCCCAACAGACTGATACCAGAGGCTACAGAGAACAGAAAGGGGGAGAGGCCTTTCCTTTGCACTCTTCTTTATTTGGTCGTTGGAGGAAGTAGGCCCATCTCTTAAAGTGAAATATAGTGTAGACCCCAAAAAGAAAGAAAAGAACCTGGTAGAGGGCAGAGCAACAGGAACAAGTAGAAAGGTGGCTCAGGATAAGGAGCCAACCTAGGCATGAGGAATGCCGGAACAAGACGGGACAGATGGTGAGACCAAAAGGGAAAATGACCAAGAGAAGGAACTAAGGTGAGGCCAGAGAGGAGAGAGAAAGGGAACAGCATGGGAAAGGAAGTGTAATGGGAATACAATAGGGCTTTAGAAAGGGAGGGGTGGGCACAAGGTGAATCCGGAGAAATGAGCCAGAGCAAGGAAGACAGGGGCTAGGTGTTGGGTGAGTTTGCTGGTGAAGTATGGGGACATTCTTAAGACTGTTCAAAAGGGTAGGTGTCATTATAAATAATATGAAATGTGCCTTTTTGGGTAACTTTGGACTTACTTATATATTTTTGGTAAATTAAGCCAAGTTCATTTTAGTGTTTTGGTTTAGTGGTTTAAAATTAATTAAATACTCTGAATAGTTTATTCAGCTAAATCTGCCTTACTCAGTGAAATAGGATAGAAACTGTAAATTATACCATTCTTACTATGACTCGACAGCACATAACAACAACAACTGTGAGTGGTATAGGATAATGAGATATAAAATCATTAAGGATTACCCTTAAAGTTATTGCAGTTCTCATAACTTTATAGGTATATAAGTATGCATGATGTTCTAGTATAAATTTGTTCTAGACTACTTATGCAAGTGGTATATTTACATTTCTGAATCAAATTAATTGATTCAGTTCGTCCCTCCCACTGACCCATCCATTAGATTTGACAAGCAATTCAATCTCAGGCATGTTTGGGGGATGTGTTAGAGGCCTTACACAGACAAAAACATTTGGGGGACAAATGATCTTCAGTCTTTGATACTCACAACTTGTGTGTTCCTCATGCAAGTCTATCTGATCATTAACAGACTGGAGCCTCCTTTGTTCAAAGCATTCACACCATCTCTGTACATCTTAACTCCTAGGACCTTAGCCAATGCTCCCAAGGCCACGGTGTTTAATTCCCAGGCACCTTCTCATGCTGACTCGGCTTCCTATCACTTCCTTAAGCCTCCACTGCTCAAAGACCCACTACCCTGCATGCTTCTACTCTCAGAAAAATATCTCAATCCTCCAGGGTCGGGCCACCTACAACTTGGAAGACATTATAAGTTAGGGGTCAAGTTCAGTCATGCTGGATATCGTATCTAACATGTCAGCAATACAGTAGACTCCTGTACGCATGCCAACTGATTCATTTAGTGCTAACCAAAATAATGGAGTAAAAATGTTTGTGCTGTGTTTGTTTAAAGATGGGGTACTTGTATACCATATTTTGTTGTTGTTGTTGTTGTTGGAATATGGGAGATTTTTACCTTGAACTTTTACTGCTTTATAAAATGTTAGAAGGATTACATCAGATAATCTGTGAAAGCATTTAGGTCAATGCCTGGCATATGGTAAGCATTCAGTAAATGTTAGCTAGTATTATGGTAATTATAGCTTTTATAACAGAAATAAACCTGATTCTCAATCCATTCTGTGCTGCTTCGTGGCTATGTAAACTTGAACAAATGACTTGAAATCTCTAGCTATAAAATGGAAATATTACTGCCCTTAAAGAATTGTATTAAATGAGATACCTATATATGAAGTGCCAAGTCTAAAGCATGGACAGTCATTAAATGTTAGTTCTTTCTCCTAGTGACACTTACGTTTGTATGTATATGTATATGTGTGGGGGTGGTGGTGGGGGTTACACATATGTGCATATCAGTATATCTCTGTATATTACTAGTAACAAACTAGATTATCTGCTTACACAGGGCCCAAGGAAATCTCAGCTGAAAAAAAGCACAACTGGAATGCATCATTTTTAAATTCTCAAACCAATGTGATTACTCAAAGGAGAGATGCTATGGCTCATCGCATAATGTCTGCAAGGCTTTATAAGATTAAAGAGCTAAAAAATGATTTAGCTGATATACATCGTAAATTGGAAGCCACCATCATAGAAAACCAATTTTTGAAACAACTGCAGTTTAGACACTTAAAAGCGATAGGAAAATATGAGAACTCACAAAATAATCTTCCTCAAATTATGATTAAACATCAGAATGAAGTAAAAAATCTAAGGCAGCTACTTAGGAAATCCCAGGAAAAGGAAAGAACTGTATCTAGGAAACTTAGGGAATCTGACATTGAGTTATTGAAGACTAAGGATGCCTTACAGGCACTGCAGAAACTTTCTGAAGATAAAAATCTTGCAGAGAGGGAAGAACTTACTCAAAAATTATCTGTTCTCACATCAAAATTGGAGGCAAATGACAAAAGAATACAGGTCTGTATTTCAGAAATTTTAAAGTGCCAAAAGTAATAACAGAGAGAGGGTGTATATGAATATTTGCCAAACTGCTTTGCCTATAGGCCACACTAAATAATTATGGGTTTTTTTCTGTTTTCTTTTTTGGAGGAGGGAGGTTTGAAGGAGAGACACAAAAAGCTTTGAACTGGAAATGTTTATTCTGTCATCATAGTAAGCAAAGTTCATTGTGTGGCTAGGCTAATTTATCTGGAAATGATCATTCTCTAAAATGGCACTGCTACCTGTGTTAGGGGAGTTTTCTCATGTGCTAAAAAGGTTGCATTGTGTTGTGCTAAAGCACTCTTAGATACCACCCATCTACTTCAAACTGTTGATTTAAAGAATTGTTGTTGTTATTTGCCGTCGAGTCGGCCCCGACTCATAGCGACCCCTCCTTGGGTTTCCGAGGCAGTATCACTACGGAAGTAGGATTGCCCAACCTTCCTTCCGAGGAGTGGCTGGTGGGTTTGAACCGCCAGCCTTCTGGTGAGCAGTCAAGTGCCTTAGCCACTATGCTACCAGAGCTCCCAATTTAAAGAATAGTGCCCTGAAAACCTAACTGGTGTATCTATTCAGTCTCTTTCCCTTTATTCTTCCTCCTCAGTTTGGCTGATCATTACAACACAACATTTTTAGTATTTTACATATAAGAATTTTTCCCAGATAATCTTCTTGTGGAAAGGGATGGAAAAGGAATTGAAATAATTGAAGAGATACATGGATTGATTTCTTCAGTGGTGCATAATTATCAATAGTTTGGGAATTACATCACAAGGGATGCTTTAAGAAAACACAAGGATCATACTGAGGATTCTCTCACCTATTCTGTATTAAAATAGACCTCCACAGACATAAACATAAATGGAATTTATTTACTGTTAATCCCTAATCTTATGGTGAGAAGCAAGTATTTTCTATGATCTTGAAGTAACAAGAAAGTAAGTTCATTTCATCCCCCTTTTTTATGTTCTTCTGTTAGTAAAATTTTTTCCTATATACTCAGAGATCTTTCTCATATAGAATGGATATGCAAGCTACAGAAATTAAGGACCAACCTCATTTCCCATCCTTATAAATAGTTTACCAAAGTTCTGTTATCTGGCCTTTTAGGTAATATTGGATCCATCTTATCATGTGTCTATCATGTAAAAGTAAATGGATATTTTCTCATTCAGACAAATGAGATAAAACCAAAAAGAATTCAAGATCTAATTAACTCTTTTCTTGGTTATCACAGGCACTATGGTATGGGAAATTACTATTTGGTAGTAGGATATGTGGTAAGGGAAAAGTCTTTTGTGGCTCAAAACATGTGGGTTATTTTGTTGTTGTTAGGTACCTTCAAGTCAGATCCAATTCACAGTGACCTTATGCATAACAGAATGAAACAGTGCCTGGTCCTGCACCATCCTCAATGATTGTTGCTATGTTTAAGCCTATTGTAGCCACTGTGTCAATCCATTTCATTGAAGTTTCCCTCTTTTTCGCTGACCCTCTATTTTACCAACAACCATGATGTCTTTTTCAAGTGATTGGTCCTTCCAGATGACATGTCCAAAGTAAGTGAAACAAAGTCTTGCCATCCTTGTAAGGAGCATTCTGGCTGTACTTCCTCCAAGATAGATTTGTTTGTTCTTCTGTCATTCCATGGCATATTCAATATTCTTCACCAACCCCACAATTGTAATTTGTTAATTCTTCTTTGATCTTCCTTATTCATTGTCTAGCTTTTGCATGCACATGAGGCAATTAAAAATACTGTGGCTTGAGTTAGGTGCACCTTAGTCATCAAAGTGACTTGTTTGCTTCTTAACACTTTAAAGAAGTCTTTTGCAGCAGATTTGTCCAATGCAATTTGATTTCTTAACTGCTGCTTTGTGGATGTTGATTGTGGATTCAAGTAAAATGAAATCCTGACAACTTCTATTTCTTCACCCATTTATCATGATGTTGTTTATTGGTCCAGTTGCAAGGATTTTTTTTTTTTTTTTTTTTCATATTCAGGTGTAATCTATACTGAAGGCTGTAGTCTTTGACCTTCATCAGGAAGTGCTTCAAGTCCTCTTTACTTTAAGCAAGTAAGGTTGTATCATCTGCATGTCACAGGTTGTTAATAAGTCTTCCTCCAATCCTGATGCTGCATTCTTCCTATCACCCAACTTCTCAGATTATTTGTTCAGCATGTAGATTGAACAGTAAAGTGAAATAATATAACCCTGCTGTACACTTTTTCCAGTTTTAAACCACACAGTATCCCCTTGTTCTGTTCAGATGACTGACCCATGTACAGATTCTTCATGAGCACAATTAAGTGTTCCAGAATTCCCATTCTTCAAAATGTTATCCAGAAATTTTTATGATCCACACAGTCAAATGCCTTCACATAATTGATAAAACACAGGCAGGTGAACATCTTTCTGGTATTCTGTGCTTTTAACCAAGCTCCATCTGACATCAACAGTGATATCCCTCATTTCATGCTGTCTTCTGAATCTGATGTGAATTTCTGGCAGTACCTTACTGATGTACAACTGTAGCCATTTTCTAAATTTTCTGTAGCAAAATTTTGCTAATATGTAATATTAATGATATTGTTCAATAATTCTTCATTCTATTTGATCCCCTTTCATTGTAATGGGAACAAATAAGGATCTTTTCTAGCCAGTTGGTCAGGTGGCTGTCTTCCAAATTTCTTGACATAGATTAGTAAGCACTTCCAGCATTATATTTGTTTGTTGTAGCATCTCAATTGGTATTCCATCAATTCCCAGAGCGTTGATTTTTGCCAGTGCCCTCAGAGCAGATTGTACTTCTTCCTTCCTCCTTTGGTACCAGTGGTTCTTAATCATGTTGACCAATTCTTTTTGGAATAGGGACTCTGTATAGTCCTTCCAACATCTTTTGATGCTTTCAGCATGATTCATTTTTTGCCCATAGAATCCTTCACTATTGCAACTTGAAGCTAGAATTTTCTGTGATTATTTTATAGTTTTTCTATATTTTCTACTTTCTTTTAATGAAAAAATATTAATATTATAGTGGGGAAAACTCTAAATAAAAGTACTTTTGGTCATACCTTCTGTTGAAGTCCAGATCAATAGTTCTCGTTCCATTGAGAAGGTGAATATGCAGCAGCAAGTCCTGAGTAAAGGTTATGGAGCAGTTTTAGTATTTACCATGCAGAGATGGCAGTGTGACAACTCTCAATCTCATTTGTCTAGGAATCCCTGTGCCCAGATGGTCTGCAGTGTTGCTTAATCAGTCCTTTACTGAGAGCTGCTTGAAAGGTTTCTAAAGAGGACACTATGCAAAGATAATAATAATTAATTTTTAAAGTATAACATTTAATTATATTTCTTGATTTTAAAGATTTGTTCAAAGATTATCAAATTCCAGAAAGTGTAAGAAGCATTGGGCTCAAAACATGATATTTATTCTCCTGATTTGAGATTCAGGATTTTTTTTGGGGGGTGGGTGGGTGGTTATACTTAGTTCAAATTTATGTTCCCTATACAAATCATAAGGAGCTTTGGTGGCACAGTGCCTAAGGCATTTATTTGCCTGCTAACCAGAAGGTTGGTGGTTCAAACCCACCAGTCACTCCACAGAAGGAAAACTAGGCAATCTACTTCCATCAAGATTGACCACTTTGGAAACCCAATGGGGGTCGCAATGAGTCGGAATCTACTCAGTGGCAGTGGGTTTGGTTTTTGGTTTATACAAATCATACACTAAAATTGGATTAAAATTTGTACTTTTCAAAAATGTAGTTATTTCCATTATAATTTATATTTTTAAATAATACTACATTGATTACAGACTAGTTGAAATATATACTGTTTTCAGGTCTTGGAAAAACAGCTGAGGTTGAACAAGAAAGCCTTTAATCGGCAGTTGGCTATTGAGAACCAAAAGACATTAGCAGCTCAAACAGCTACAAAGGCTCTGCAAATGGAAGTAAACCACCTCCACCAAAAACTTAAGGTATTTCTTTTCAAATAAAATGTAAGAAAAATTGTGAAGTCATCTTTCCCAACATATCAGAGCTATTTATGCCTACTATATCTTTAAAGTCTTTAAGTTTCTTCCCTACAATCGTATGAACAGAGGATCTAAAATTATATTAGACTGTGTTGAACAGCACAGTGAATGTGTATTATATTTAAAAATTAAAGTTCTATTCTACTAGCAAATCTTACAATTTTTATTTCATCACATAAAGCAGTATTATTGCATTTTGTTAACATTTTAATGTAACTCAAATTAAGTTTTTAGATTTAAAAATCATTGATCACATTAAAATATCTAGGGTAAAATTTAATTGCCCATAAATTTATTTATTTTGGGTGGGGGTTATGATGGAGACAGAGTTTTTTCTATTTGATTTTAAGCTGCTCAGGGAAGACCTACATACAGTCAAGGTCAAAAAACTACTATATAAAGGATTTTAACACAGTGAAAAATACAAGGCATGGAAATTGTTTTTTAATATTTTATTGTGGTTTTGGTGAAGGATTGCATAGCAGTTTAGGTTCTCATTCAATAATTTCTACACAAACTGTTCAATAACATTTATTATATTCTTCATAATTCATGAACATTCTCAATATTTTTGTTGTGGTTGTTCCATTTTCATTGATCTAGTTTCCCTGCCCCCTTAAATTCTTAAATTTATTTCAAAGTAATTGTTGACCATTTGTTCTCACATAGCTAAAAGGTGACCTTAGGGGCTAGTTTCAGTTCAAGGTTTAAAGAGTATCTCGGGACAATAATCTCTCAGAATGTCCTCCAATCTCAACTAGTCAGTGTGTGTGTGTGTGTGTGTGTGTGTGTTCAGGAATTTAAAGTTCTGTTCCACATTTTTCTCCCATATTATCAGGGTCCATCTATTGTGGCCCTGATCAGAACAATCAGTGGTAGCAAGCACCATCTAGTTCTGGTCTCAGGACCATGTAGACTATTAGTCCTATAGACTAGTTTCTTCTCTGAGTCTTTGGTTTTTTTATTTCTCTTTTGCTCCAGACAATTAGAGACCAATAGTTATATCTTAGATGGCTGCTGGCAAGCTTTCAAGACCCTAGACACTACTTACAAAACTAGGATGTAGAACATAAATTTTACAGACCGTATTATGCCAACTGACTGAGGTGTCCCACCAGACTACTGTCCTTCAAACCCAGGAAACCAATTCCACAAAGAGTTATGTCTAAGGAGTAGCTGTAACTGTACCCCATGTGCTTTATTATATAAATAAATAGGTACATATAGGTACATATATGCATATTCCTATATATACACATATATACATATTTACATAACTAATACATATATATGTCTATAAACATACATTTTTTTTTTTATTTTTATGTTGTGGTTGCTGTTGTTTCAAAATTATATATGCCATAGCAATTACCAAAAGGTCCTTTTATCTTGTGTACCTTTTAGTGGTCTTGTTTACTTTCATCAAGCTGTACACACTTCATTCTCATTTGGTGTTACCGCAAATTTATTTTTGAAGTCTCACTTGTAAATATGCTTGCATAAGTGTGTACATTGCTTTAAAAATAAGAATTTAAAAATATGTATTGTTTCAGGTTTATTACTATCTTTCTGCCTTTAAGATTTCTGATATTTCCAATAATTTGGAAAAGCTAAATAAGACACTTAAAAAACATAATTGTTTTAAGCCTCATTTATTAAACCTTAAGCTTTGTTCTTTAAAACAAGGATCTTTAACTTTCTTATGGGGAGCTCTGGTGGCGTAGTGCCTAAGGCATTTGACTGCTAACCAGAAGCCTGGTGGTTCAAACCTACCAGCCACTCCTTGGAAGGAAGGTTGGGCAATCTACTTCTATAGTGATATCACCTCAGAAACCCAAGTAGGGGTCACTATGAGTCGGATCCAACTCAAAGGCAGTGACTACTAAAGCTTTGTTCTTTAAAACAAGGATCTTTAACTTTCTTATGAGATTTATTTAATTTAGAATTACCAGGAAACTTGAGATCACTCAAAAGCAAAAGAAGAATATTGGGAGGGGAAAGTTAGACAGTAAATTCTCTCTTCATAGAATGAGGAAAACAGTTCTGTCCTTTCTTCTCTCAATTCCCAAGAAACTTCAGAGAGAAGGATATGGTAAAAATGGGCACAGCTACAAGAATTCTACCAAAAGAGGCTTTCTCAGTGGTTGAGGAAACATACACACAATCAGATAATTTTAAAATAAATTCTGTGCTCCCATATACATTTGAACTCTGGTAGCATAATGCCTAAGGCACTTGACTGCTAACCAGAAGGCTGGTGGTTCAAACCCACCAGCCACTCCTCAGAAGGAAGGTTGGGCAATCTACTTCCATAGTGATACCGCCTCAGAAACCCAAGGAGGGGTCGCTATGAGTCAGGTCCGACTTGACATCGACAGCACATAACAACAACAACAACAACAGCAGCTATTAAATTTTTATTTATTTTTTTTTTTTACTTAGGGCCCACTGAGTTTTTGTTGAGGGTGATGGAAAAATTGCAAACAGTAGTAATAGTTGTACAACATGATGAACTGTATAAAGGGCATGGCAGTGGAATCTGACCTCCTCTAACTACAAGGGGGAAAAAAATCACCATCAGCAGCTCAAGGCTGATTCCTATGAGGCAGAAGTCATATGTGCCACCACCCTCTGACACTTTTTACCAATCTTGACACAAACTGTCCCTCTCACAGCACTATATGTACCTACTTCTCTGCTGGGTTTGATAATTCATTGCAGTTGCCACACAGAACTTACAGACAATACTCACAATTATGGGGTTTATTAGGAAAGTAACAGATTACAATTCAGGATCAGAAACAAGTCAAGATACAGTTCTTCAATCAGGACAGCTGCTTCTCAGCCATGCCACAGGCACTCTTCTCTTTGGCCTTGGCCTGTGCTCTGCTTGGGCTAGTGTTCCAAAGCTCTTCTAGCTTTGCCAACAGGTGCCCAAACAGGCACCCCACTCCACCAGCAAGCCTCCTACCCAAAGGCATTCACATTCCTTGTTCTTTGGGCCAGGAAGCCCACCGCTCTGTCTTGTGCCAGTCTTTTGGTTCTGCTGCTTCTGCTGCTGCCATCTCTCTCTGCCATCTCTTTGCAGTCTCTGTAGCACAGGGATCTCAGGTCCAAAGGACAAACTCTATTCCTGGCTCTTCTTTCTTGATGGCAGTGAGATGCTCCCTTTTTCTAAGCCTAGTGAGATGGTGAAACTGACCAATCTGCATGTTAGGGTTCCATATACTTTTGCATGGTTTCACCATACAAGGGTGCCATGCACCTTATTTACATTACTAAAAAGCTATCCAATTCTCTTGGTGAGCCACAAAACACCTCATATTTACATAGTTCCACCCAGTCATTTGGTGGGACACACAAAGACCATGGTTAGTCTCCTAGTCATATTAAGTAATTCATTGTACCTCATGAATATAATCAGTGTCACTGACTTGTACATGTGAAATATATTGAAAAAGCAAATGTTTTGTTATAGATATACTTTTACCACTATACATATATATACGGGAGCTCTGGTAGCATGGCACCTAAGGCACTTGACTGCTAACCAGAAGGCTGGCGGTTCAAACCTACCAGCCACTCCTCGGAAGGAAGGTTGGGCAATCTTACTTCTTTAGTGATACTGCCTCGGAAACCCAAGGAGGGGTCGCTATGAGTTGGGACCGACTCGATGGCACATAACAACAACAACATATATACACACACACACAGACATATATATACAAACCCATAACCAGTGAGTCGATTCTGACTCAGCAACCCTTTAATACAGCATAGACCTGCCCCATAGGGTTTCCAAGGCTGGAATCTTTACAGAAGAAAACAGCCACAGCTCTTTCCCGCAGAGTAACAGGTGGGTTCAAATTACTGACCTTTTAGTTAGCAGCTGAGCTTTTATCCACTGTGCCAACAGCGTATGTATGTATGTGTGTTGTATATAAATATATATATATTTTAAAATATTTTGTATTTGATTAGAGGGCACTGAGTTTCTGTTAAAGATGATCAAGAAAAAGCCTGGCAAACTGTTTCCATAAAGATTACAGCACAAAAAAACAAATAAACAAAAACCTTATGGAGCAGTTCTATGCTATAAAACATGGGGTCACCATGAGTTGGGGGTCCAACTTGATAGCAGCTTACAACGATGAATTAATGCCTCTAAGAAGTGATCATCAATGGCTGTTAGCATCACAAGAGAAACCACCAGGCATTTATGTACTTCCTTATGGATGTACACAACATCCATGCCCAGAAAACCTAACCTAAATCTGATTAAACATTTAGATCTAACAACCAATGCAAAAGAAATGGGACAGAGAAACATGATAAAGGATACCACAAAAACAGACAGCAACATCTAGACTCTGGGAAACTATAGGACAAACAACCCAGTTTCTTCAACAAATAGCAAAGAGAGAAAAAAAAAAGAAATGGGGTGAGGAACCAATTGCTTAAAAGAGATTTAAAAGACATATTAATCACACAATGTTTTGAACTTTTTTTGATCCTGATTCAAACAAACAAACTTAAAAAACAAATCATAACATAATTCAGAAGATATCAAGCTAGATATTTGATGATTGTTGATTTTTTTTTCATTGAGTGGAATGATGGTATTATGTTTAGATTTTAAAGGGGAAGCCCTTGTCTACTATAAGTACATAATGAAATATTTACAGATTAAATTATATGATAGCTAGTACCTGCTTCACAATAATACAGGAGTAGAAGTAGGATGAGAAAGGGTGGATATGTTGTTTATTACTGAAATGCTTCATGGAAGTTCACTCCATTATTCTTATTCCATGATTTTTCAAATTTCCATGATAAGAATTTTTAAAGGGAAAAAAGTAAGAATTACATATCCTGTGCATAAAGAAGAACGGAAATAGATCAGGAAAGTAGGCTAAATACATGCTTTTTCTCCCTTCTGCCAA